TGCGCGTGTGCGCCCATTGAAGGCTCGTGCGCTCCTTGTCCGCCACGCACTGCGTGTTCCCTTCGATTGCAGCTGCGTCCTCCTCACGACCCTGCCGCCGCCACGTCGTCCGCCACCCACGTGTGTTGCCAGCGAGTGGCAACGTCAGTGGTCAACGGTGGTAGCGCGACAGCGATTGGAGCAGTAGTAGCGGGATGTGCATGCCAGTGTCAGCAAGTGAAGTGGTAGGGTCCGTAGCAGCAGTTGTCGCAGTAGTCGTAGTAGTAGATGTAGTAGATGGAGTAGAAGTGGTAGTAGCTGTGGTAGTAGCAAACAATATGATAGTTTTCGTGGATGACGCCGAAACAGAAGCGGCAGCAGCAGCAGCAGGCATAGAAACCGTAGCACTTTGAAGGAGGCAATGACACATTGCTAGGCACTAGGCCGCAGGTAGTATGTGTAGACCAAACGAAGCGGCAGTTATTGAATCGCTTCGCTCATTCCGCCGGCCCATTTCGCATGACTGAGCCTCTTGGGGCCGCTGGGGGGCCTCTTCAGCGTCGCTTGGGGGCCTCCTGAGGGCCTCTTGGGAGCTTTTGGGGCGTCTCAGGGGCCTCTTGAGGCCTCCTGGGGGCTTCTTAAGGCCGAGGGCTCGAAGTTTTGATTTGTGTTCCCCCTTTGGGGCATCGCTTGGGGCCCTCTTGGGCCCCTCTTGGGCCGTCTTGGATGCCTCTGGGGCCGTCTTGGAGCCCTCTTGGGCCATCTTGGGGCCTTCTTGGGAGCTTCTTGGGCCCTCTTGGGGCGATCTTGCGAAGCGGCAGTTATTACGAGGAGTGGGGCGAGTGCATGAGGAGCCGAAGCTGGCATCATGTGTCTTGACGCCTGCAGGAAACGACCGGCGTGATCGGCATGATCGACCTGCTCATCAAGGCGCGGCGCGGGGCCCCCTCCCCTCGGCCTTCTCCCCAGGCCTCGGGCGCGATGGCGTGGTTCCCTTCCTCGCAGAGCCGGGTCTGGTCAAGTCTGGGCTGGCCCTGCAAGAGCAAGGTTGCCCTTGAGTCCTGTCTGGTGGCATTTGTTATGCGTTTTGTTGCTCTGATCGGCACGGGCCCCCGCCCCCCCCCCCCGCCCCCCTTTGGACCAGCTGGCGGCTTTGGGCGGCTGCTTTTGGTGACTGGTCAAGACCCCTACCCCCGGTCTGCTCACGCGACTGTGAAAAGCAGATCGACTACGCACGGGTCCAGACCCGGACCCCCCCTCCTCCCCCACCCTTCGGCCAAGTGTCGAAAACCAGAATTAAAAAAAAACGCTGACCTCTCGTTGTTCATGTCCTCTACACGTCTTGAACACAAGCGTTGCCCGAGGAGCTTCCCGCTGTCCCCTCGGGTTTCCTCTGGAATGGATGCCGAGGGTAGGCACGATGGCGCCGAGGTTTGTTCCCTCGCAGCTGGCACGAGGATCGGGGAACAAACAATAACATAAGCATAAAGTGTCAGAGGTCACGGAGGATTTTTCGGATCGGCGATGGACCCCCTCCTTGGCGCGCGGAGCGCGCCAGAGGCGGCGCCGAGTTTTTATGTTTTATGTCAGTGTTTATTCCCCGCGAGGAGCCCTGGGAGGGGTGTCACTGGTGCGGGCGAGACGGTTTGTGGACTCAGCCTGCACCGCGTGCCCGTGCGGCAGGTTCGCGCGGCGGCGAGCCCAGCGCGGGGGGTCAAGGCTGCATGCCGCCAGCAGCCCGCTACCGGCCGACATCAAGCGACCCGCGCTCTCGGACGGCCGCGATCTCTCAGGGTGGATCGGCGGCCAGACCGGGGGGGAAGAGGAAGGGCGTTGTCGTCGGTTCTCGGCGGTTCTCCAGCCTCGGGGTGCGTTCCAGCGGCTGCGCCTCGCCGAGGGCGCTCTGGCGGTGCCCGGATCGTTCCGAACGGCCGCGGGAGAGCCGAGCTATAGCCAAAAAACTATCATGCATCCGAGAGGGGGCGGGCCTTCTCAGAATGCCCCGAAGTCCTCTGGCCTTCTGAGAAGTTGTCTAAGCCTTATCCGAAGGCACAGAAGCTCTCTGGAGACCAGGGCTTCTGAGAAGCCCCGCCGCCCTCTGGGAGGGCCGTCTCCTTCTCACTTGAACGATCCACACGACGTCAGAAGCCAACGCGCAAGTCGCCACGACACGAACACTGTTGTTTTAAGCCTGCGGGCGCGGGGGTGTGCGAGAGGGTCAGGCGCTAGTCAAAGCGAGCGTGGGGCTGCACCAGAAGCGAAGTAGGCGCGAAAAAGCCACGACACGAGCACGCCGCAGTCTGTACTGGGCCGCCAGCGGGTCCCAAGGCCACTGGGCGATCGGGGCAACACGGCCCGCGCCCTGTCGCGCAAGCGCGCACGTGAAGGCCCATCGGCGAGTCGGGAGGAGGAGGAGGATCAGGAGCGCAGGAAGGACGTACACGTACATGAATTCACATTAGTTTCGAGAGCATGAATTGCGCGAACATTCGTATCACGAGGCCGGTCTCGCGGACTGGGGGGCCGTGTTCGTGTACGTGGTTGGGCGAATACAGTCTTTGTGGGTTCCTATAAGAGGAAGTGAGAGAGCACAGGAGGAGGAGAGGAGGGGGAGGGGCGCAGGAGTGGCGAAGAAGGAGGATGAGGAGGAGCAGGGGGAGGAGGAGGAGGAAGAGGAGGAGGAGGAGGAGGAGGAGGAGGAGGAGGGGGAGGATCGGAGGAGCCGAACCTACCAAGGGTGTGTTGGGTTCGGTTGGTCTGGTTGCGTCGCAGGTCGGCTGCGGTCGGCCCGCTTGGCTCGGCCGGCCACCTTGCCGCGGCTCTGCGCTGGCGCGCCCCCCCGGGCTGCCAGCCTCGGTCGGTCGCTGCCTCGCTGCCAGTCGAGCTGGTCTCCGGCTGTACGGTCGCCGTGCCCAGACCCCCTCGCGCCGTGCAAAAGTCACGACGGGGGGGTTCTCCTCGTTCTGGGCATCGGGGGGCCCTCGCCAGGCTGCGGGACTGAGGGGTCGAGGCCTCTGGGGGTCGACGATGAATCACATCATCACGTCGGGGGGTCTGGGTCGGGCGGGGCTAGGACCAGGGCGTTCCGGAACGCTCTGAGCAGGCCCCGCGGCGCCCGAGGCACCCTCCCGAGCCGCTGGGTCTCGGAGAGTCTCGATGCATCCTGGTCCGAATTTGTCCTCGTCATGGCTGCGTCTTACGTGGGTGGGCGCCCTTTCCAGTGCAGGGCTGCGCCGCCAGCGTCTGCCACGCCTCGTGCTGCGTCCTGTGCCGCCCGCGGAGACCGCGGAGATCCCCGCACGGGTGTTCAGGAGTAGTGGCCTGAGGGGGTGAGGAAAGTGACCCTCAAGGGGGCCTTTGGGGGCCCCTCTTGGAGCAAATAGGGGTCCAAAAGGAGCCCCTTCAGGGCTCGTTTCTTCACCCCCCATTCAGGTCATCCCCCCTTTAAGCACCCGCCCAGAGATCCTCACACCAGGCGTTGTCCCCCGGTTCTCCCCCAGTTCGGGGCCCTCTCGGATCGATCCGGCTCGAGAAACGAAGCAGAAAGACAGAAAGATTGGGTCTGGGGTTTGGGGTTCCTGTCGCGGCGTCGACAAGGCCATACTCAAGAAGCTTACGCCATTCCGCCGACACCCAGAGAATGGGGGAGAAGGAGGGAATGGACGACGAGTACGGTGGGAGTACGAAGGAGAAGAAGGAGGAGGACGAGGACGACAGGCATGTTTTGCAGAAGGAGTAGTTCTGGGCTCCGCGGCTCCTGACGGGACCTCGACGAGGCTATACTTTTCGCGACGTCGGGTTTCAGGGGGGGGGCCGAGGGAGGGGGTGACGGGCAGGGCCGCCAAGAAGGGAGCGGTCTTGCGGGAAGAGGGCCCTCCCGACCACCCTCCCCGACTTGTCCTCGAGTTCCTCGGGGAAGACGTCTAATAATTCGGCTTGCCGGTAAACTCCTCGAGCTCACCAGGGAAGAAACAGGCTTCCTGGCTGAGCTCGAAAGTTCCCTGAATAGCTGCACTGGGGGGCGCTTCATCACCATCCTCCTCTCCCGCCTCCTCGTTCTCCTCCTTCGCGCGACCCCGCAGGGGAGTGTTCGAGCGTCGCTTTGGATTAGCTCCCGAAGCGCCTTTGCCTTCTTTACATCCTCTGCGCCGCGGGCGCAGCCCGAGGTTTCTGAGGCCGCTTCTCCGGCCCCTCGGTGCCCCTCCCAGGCAGCCCGAGAGCGGCACGGCACAAGAGGCCTGCCAAAGGGGGGGCACCCGGGGGGCGCGCACCCCAGGATATCGGGAAAGAGGACGGTGGTGACTGAGGGCGGGGGATACCCAGAGATCCGCCGCCCCGACAAAAATTGAAGCGGGCGATTCTTGGTTACTTTCGGCCTCTGGGGGCCCTCGCCGGGCCCTGGGCCTGTCAAAAAAGGATTCAGAACAAAAAAAGCTCCAGGGAAGTGGTCAGACCTTCAGGACCCACGCATCGAAAAAGGAGCAGCCGGTTGTCTGGGTTATCCACTCCTGGCGAGAACGAACGGGCGTAACCGGGGCGGGGAGGGGAGAGGAGGGGGTCGGTCACGATTCGCGCCGGCGCCGCCCGGGGAGGAATGGGTAGTTCCCCGACGGCGCTGCTGCGAATCGTGAAGTGAAAAAGGGGAGGAAGGGGGGGTGGGGGCGGGGGGGGGCGGGGGGGCGCACCACAGTACATCAGGGGCGGCCAAGAGTCGAGGGAACACTAACATGGATCCAGGCGCGTGGATTGGCGACGGGTCCCGTTTCCATGCAGATCGGCGCGCGTTGTCGCCAAATGAGGCGGCACTGGCCTCACGTGTCGGGGTGCTTTCCCCGATGCCGTGGAGTTGGCGCCCTCGCGCCAGGGGGGGGATGACTCTACGGAGTGGAATATCATGACTGGGGTCATGATGTCTCCCAGAATGTCACAATCATTCAGCATAGTACAGCCACTAGCCCTAATAGCACGATGAATTCGTGGGCTATCTTAGGGCCACGGTCTTTGAGGATACACCTAGACATGCTGGTGGTTTCGTCTGGTACATCTGCAGAAGACCCCCTATTCCGAATGTTTGTGGCCCTCCCTAACATAGATCCCCTCCCACAGGGCTTGGGCTGGCGGAGAGCAGGCCCACCCTAGCAGGGCTGGCGGCTGGCAGGGTAGACCCTGCATATCGCGCGTGTCGCGCGGCGTCATGGCGGCTCTCTGGCTTCTGGGAGTTCCCAGGAGGTTTACGGACCACGCACTTGTAACCCAGGGTAGGGGCGTTTTTTTTTCTGAATCCTTCAATGGACAGGGGACACGATAGTTTGCACCACATCGCGCCAGAATGCGTAGCGGCATGCCGTCTTATATGCACATGTTGCCAGCAAGTGCCAGGCCAGGATGTTGTAGGTGGGCCCCACCACGTTGAACATGTGCCTGTGCCAGGTCGAACGCTGGCAGCTCCAGGTCTGGACAACCTCTCAGACGGATGATACAGCTAGAGCAGTCCGCTGTTAGTGTGGCTCTGTAGGTCGCCGCCTATCCCGTCTTCTTTCCTCCTTCCTTCCTTCCTCGCCGTGCCGCCGCCGCCGCTGATTTCCAGCTTCTTTGTTTGCGGCATGACCCGCGTTCAGCACACGCGCTGTCTCTTGTCAGCTTCAATGAGGGGTAGCCCATTGACACTAATTCGGTGTCGGTTTCCCCTTACTTCCTCCTTCCCTCCTTCCTCCTCCTCCTCTCCCTCCTCTTCCCCTCTGGACTGCGCTGTGCGCTTTTGGGCTACCTAAGTGGCCACTTGGGCCATATGGGGTTACCCGCACAGCGCCCTTGCCCGTTCGCCTCGTCCTCCCTCTCGCTCCTCCTCCTCCTCGTCCTCCTCGTCAGCTTTCGCTCACATTTGAGGGCCTAATGTTGTGACATGTTCGTTGCGCGCTGACGCGCCGCGGAAATGTTACTTAAGGAAGTGTGTTTATTTGGGCACCGCCTCTGCGTGTGAGGGGAAACTTGTGTTGCTAATCAGACAATCCCTTGTTCTTCTTTCGGTGCGTCTTGCTTCTGGCAATGCTTTGCGAGCCCCCCATGTTGGACGCCCCCGAGGCCAGGTCCAGGGATCGGTGGTTCCCAATCTTTGGCCTCGTGTTTTTTTTGTTGTTCCAGGCCGCGGGGTTGCCAAATGGCAATCCAAGAAGGCGAAAAGCATGTCTCCGGAGAGGCCCAGGGTCGGCGCATTGATAAATCAGAATATCAGAGGTCTGAGTTTGTTGTTTGCAGGTTTTTCTCGACGACAGTCGTGCACAAACAATCATGCAGCCGCCCAGGATCTGGACAAGGAGATGACCGAAGCAGAGGCCCAGGAGGAGAACGACCAAAAGGATACCGTGGCAGATGACGATCGCCGATTGTGTGCTGATGGCCGTCCGTCTCCTGACGTTCGTCTGGTCTGTCCCAGTCATATCTCATAAGGCCCTATGTCAGTGATTCGCATGTTGTAATGCGCAGGCGCGTGGGCTCATTGAGTGCACGTTGGATTATGCTCATCGTGTACGTATGAGCGACGAAGGAAAACAGGGTCGTCTTCACCGGCATTAGCGCGTTACCCGCGGAAGGTCGCGCGCAAGTGCCCTCGCTTCCAAGCAGCGTGCCGCTGCGTAAGGTCGCTATGCCATCTCGCGTAAGACCCGTTCCCGTTCGTTTCTCATGTGTGTTTTCCATACGCGCTCGCGAGGGGAACCAGAATGGGGTAGGATGTGGTGATCAACGAAGAGCGGAGCGGTGGGTTTCCAAGAGGAGAGCCAGCAGAAGTCCGCTCAGTCTGGATCTGTCCTTCTCCGATTTACAACGCGGTCATGCAGCCACGCTGAAAGCCCCACCCCAGCCGGTCCGAACGTCCTCGGCTTGGGGTATCCGACGCCCCGTTCGGGGAGAGAAGGAGGTCTTGCGTGGCCCGTTGTGCGTTTGTGTGGCTTAGTGGGCGTTTGTGTGGCCAGAAGTGTCCCCGAGTCTGCAAGTCGTTGAGTGCGGCAGAGGGGGCTTGGCTGCAGGCAGAGGCCCAGCCCCCCACATACGCCGACAAAGCTCCTATGATGAGCCTCTTGGGGCTTCCGAAGACCCTCCTGGGGCCTCCGAAGATCCTCTTGGGGGCTCTGAAGAGCCTTGTGCGTCCATCTCCTGCTCACCCTCTCTCCATTTGCGCACAACCTTCCACGACTACGACTACGACTACTACTACTACTACTACTACTACTACTACTACTACTACTACTACTACTACTACTGCTGCTGCTGCTGCTGCTGCTACTGCTACTACTAGTACTACTACTACTACTACTACTACTACTACTACTACTACTACTACTACTACTATTACTACTACTACTACTACTACTACTACTACTACTACTACTACTGCTGCTCTACTACTACTACTACTATTCTTACTAATGCTACTGCTGCTGCTACTGCTGCTGCTACTACTACTACATTACTACTACGATTATTACTACTACTACTACTACTACTACTAATAATAATAATAAT